TATATATATATATTGATGTTTCTTTTCCGAACAGTAAATCCAATAATAAAAAACAATTTGTTTTTTGAAGATGTTTAATACGACGTTTCGGAACTAGGTACATTCATCATCAGGTTTATTCTGTCAAATACAATGTTTTTTTAAAAAATATTGATTAACATTAATTAATGATGGTCAATACAGATTAATTAGAAAAATTTTTTTAAAGGAATGGATTATGTACCGGGGTAAAGAGTAATAAGAATTAACTAAAAAAGGTTTTTTATATAAAATTGAGAAGCAAAATTATTTACCTGTAATAATTTATATATCCATATCACTAATATTTTTTGTTAAAAACACTCGATTTTTTTGGAAGATATTTGTAGATGTTACAACTACACAAGACTTAAACACACTGATATGGATTTCTGTCTGCCAGATGCAAAGGACAACGTACGGAATTCCTGGTAAAAATGATTTTTTATGGCTCTTCTATTGGTAATTTACGAAAAAAGAGGAAATATTGCTTTAGTAAATGTTGAGAAATATTATGTATATATATACATGTACATGCATATGCACACCTACATACTTATACATACATATGCACATATCTATATATCAATGTATCCACAATCATATACATGAACATATATGCAAGTGCATGTATATAGTGTACACACAAAAACATACAAGCACATATATGGATGTACATATATTATAACATATATACATGTATATATATACATATTCAAAAATTATTAGGATTAATTGTTTTTAATCAGGTTTAAAAAATTTAGATATGAGTCATGAATGATATTGTGATCTGATCTTTTATTAACACTACTTGACGAATTCAAAAAGATTAAACTGCTTTCAGAAAAAAAGTCTTTTAAAAGTACAATCCTCTCTATATAACTTATCTATTGAATATATATATATATATATATATATATATATATATATTTTTGATGAGTTATTTAGAATCGGGCAGTATATATATATATATATATATATATATATATATATATATATATATATATAATATATATAAAATATATGAACAGATGCCCATATCTTCTAAAGAATACTATCTTGAGAATTCGAGCACATGCCTAAGTGCAAAACACAATTTAAGATTTTCAGCCTAAAGCCATATATATATATATATATATATATATATATATATATATATATATATATATCAAATGATAAATTTTAAGACATTTATTTTGGCTGTTATGACACTGAATGCGTGTCATCATTTGGCTAAAACAGTCTTGATAATTGGTGTTAAAAAAATTCAGAGAATAAAATATGCTAACAGCGAAAAGGACTATTTTATCTGAGGAAAATTATATCTGACTCTAAAAAAATACAGAGAATTGAAATTCAAGACCCCAAAAAATGTAGTTTGAGAGTATATAACTATAAACCATAAAGATTTGGTAGATAAAAATTGTTGATCTCATACCATAGACCTGCCTACTAGTAATATTACTATATATGTATATATACAAAATGTACATATATGGCATTACTGTTCCCTCCGATTTTTGGCATTCCAGTGGCATTCCACTCTGGCAGAAATGCCAAAAAGCATTAAAAATAAAAATCCGAATGTAAAGAGACGTATTACTCGTTGCGAAGCGAATTTACGAAATGTTTCGACTTTTCTCTTCAGTTCTGGTCTGAAACAAAAATGAAGAGGATTTGGCAAAATATCTATCTGAACAAATATCATGCTGAGAGGAATAGAGGACACCGGGGGATAAAGAACTTATGGGCTATAATTTCGACAAACAAAATCTTTCACATCTTCTTGCATTCAAATTCAAAGGTAACTTTAGAGAGTGATCAAAAAAGGTAATTAAATATCTAATCCCTCATACATTCTAAAAATTTACACACTTTTATTATATATAGTCAGAAGTAACAACTGTGGCATTGTGCAAAGCAATCAATCAGACCCTGCACCACTTTTCAAATTATTTACTATATTTGAAAAAGTAATTATATCAGCTGTGTAAAATTTTCCAAAAATATACCAGACAAGTTGACAAATACCATGTCTAAGTTTCGAACTCAACAATAAATCCATTCATAAATTATAAACATTTTGCATGGTTTCCCTTACTGGATGCACTACATTTATGGATGGATATCTGCGGAAATTTTATTATCATTATTTAACATTATTTGAGAAATATATTCATGATATGAGAATAGATGCATCACGGTGACTAGACATGGCACCATGATGGTAAAAAAGTAACAATTAGGGCATTATCCAAAGCAATCTATCAGCTTTTTCTACCAATTTTTAGAAAATTTATTGTGTCCTCCAAAACTATTCGAGCCAACTACGTACAATTTTCCAAAATATACCAGACAAGTTGCCAAATCTCATCCCCCAATTTCCATCTCTACAATAAATCCATTCTTAAGTTATGACCATTTTTTTCCTGGTTTCCCTTACTGGATACACTGCATTCTTGATGGACATCTGCGATAATTTTATTATTATTATTTTAACATTATTGAGAATATATTCACGATATAAGAATAGATGCACCATGGGTCTAGACGTGGCACCATGGTGGTGAAAAAGTAACAATTAAGGCATTATCCAAAGCAATCTATCAGCTTCCTACCAATTTTTAGAAAAATTATGGTGTCTCCAAAACATTCTGAGACAACCATGAAAATTTTCCAAAAATATACCAGACAAGTTGCCAAATCTCATCCCCTGTTTCCAACTCAACAATAAATCCATTTTTAAGTTATGAACATTTTCCCTGGTTTCCCTTACTGGATGCACTACATTTCTGGATGGATACCAAGAGTTACATCTGCGGCATTTTTATTATTATTAATTTTAACATTATTTGAGAAATATATTCACGATATGAGAATAGATGCAACCATGGTGTCTAGACAAGGCACCATGGTGGTGCCACTTAAATAAATTAAGAACCTAAACTTATAAACAATAAATAATAGAACAACTAGCCAAGTGCATCTGATATGGTGGAGGAAACTAAGTTGACAGTGTTATTTTTGGAAGGTTTTTTATTATTTTATATTGTGTATGTATATGTTTATATATATATATATAACTATAATATCTATATATATAAATCAGTGTATAAATTAAAATATAAAATATGGCGTGGGTTTCGGGTATGTCCAAGTTTTGTTTGAGTTTAAATTAATAAAGTCGAAAAGTAATTAGGCGAAGTTTCGTAACAATTTAATTGGAATATTTTAGATTACACAAAATCATAATTTTGTGTATATAATATATAATTATTATATATATACTATATATATATATATACAGTTGGCCCGTTAAGTGGTTTAGCCATAAAAATATATCTAAAAATTTTTTTGCACAAAAAATGTAGGAGTATGTAGTGTATCAGTGAAAGGGACAACTAACACAAATTATAGGGATGGTTTACCCACTGCAACGCATGCCACATGTAAATATTCTTTAAACATATCAATAATCATAAGTACCAATCTTTTTTCTCTGTTTTTCACAGAAAAATTTTCAAACAAGTTATCTGTAATTATTTTATTATTGATTATTGTTTTTCACTATTAAAACTATTATTTTAATTATTATTTATTCATTTATTTATCCTATTCTTTCCTTTAATTTCGTTAATTCTATTTTTTTTCTTGATTTTGATTTTTAATACCATAATTTTAACTTATGAATTATGTTGTAATCTGGTTGTTAAAATTAGCAAAAATTAATAAAAAAAGAAAAAA